TGAACTCTCAATCTAACGGTTGGATTTACAAAATTCACATTTAATATAAAATTATTGAGCAGTGTAATACTTAGTAAAAGTTATACGGTATTATTATAATCCCTATATATATATATATATATATATATATATAATTCTATATTCTTAATAAATGCATTTATTTTAATTGATAATTGATGAGAGACAAATTAAAAAAATATAATTAATACTGCATTAAAGAGTGAGAATATCATTCTGAATCAATTTTCAAACACTAAAACCGGTTAATTTGACACGGAGAGAGTAGCAATATGATCAAGGTTTAAATTTTATCAAAGCTTTCGACGCAACCAAAAACAATTCATGTAAGATAGCTGCAAAAAAGCAATTTAATGCTTAGGTCAATAAGTCTCAATAGAGTAACAACATATATTAATTGTGAGCATATGCTAAAGTAAAATAAAAAATGCTTATTAAAAATGTTAATTAATATCATTTAATTATACTAATTTCGTTTAAAAAAACTTTTCTCCTATACTATTATTCATTGAAATATGATATTCCCTTTGTTTCATATAAGTGTTATCCTAAATTATTTTTCACATATCAAGAAAAATAAATAAATATGTAAAAAAGAATAATAAATTTTCAAAATTAACATTATATACACTTTTTTGGCTGGAAACATTGTAACACAATAACAACTTTCTCAATAAAATTATGAGGGCTATATATGTAAAAATATCATTAATACTATATTAAAAAATTAACATGATATTTATTTAAATTTTTTTTCAAACACAACACTTATCACATGTATAAGGAGTATTCAAAAAATTATTAAAATAAAAATTCAATTAAATGAAAGATGTTTTATAATTAGTTTCATTAAATAGTGTGAAATTAATTAAGATTTACTTATATTTTCAATTAATATACCATCTTTTTTCTTTTTGTATTTGAAACTAAAAGAAAATAATGTTTGTAAAAAAATAATTTCATTATTTGATATATGACAAGAGCCATTATATCTATACTTCTGTACAATACTAGTAGGGTTAGCCTAGTGATTGAGTGGAGAGAGGTTAGTAATTAGAAGCATGAGGACTTAAGTTTAATCTTCATTGAGACCATCTTTATAATCTTTCCTATCTTTATTATAAAAAAAAAATCTATACTTCTATACTAAAAGAGATATTCTTTTTTATATCTATTTTTCTTTTAAACATTTTTATTTTCAATAAATCTTCTCTCCCATAATTCACCCACTATTAGTTTTTTTTTCTTCTTAAAAGATAATTTTATTTTTAAATAAAATATTGAGAGACAAAATTTCTTTTCTGTCTGAGACAAGTGTACGCTAATTTTCCTATTCCAAACATTACCGAATGAATTTCTGGAATCTTTTATGATTGATTGTATATTTCTCTTTATGTTTGTGAAGAGAAAGTTAATGTAATCACTCATTCACTTGTAATTGCAGCTACTAATCATACTAATCCCAAGTTTTGTCATCTGATTTCTTATTGTATTTATCATTTAATTATTATTGATTTTTGTTTTTTTACAATTTATCAGTTAACTATTAATGAAATGGTTCGAGTTTGTTTCTGTCCAAAAAAAAATAAATTAACAGATGTAACATTCATATTGTTGATAAAAAATAAAAATAAAAAAACACATTGGCATTGTTACATGAACCTGCTCAATATTTAAGGCTGAAGAGCATCACACGGATTGACATATCCTCAAACCGTAACAAAACAATATCCAAAAAAAATACTTGAGAAAATAAAATAAATAAAAAATCCAAGATTTTTGTTCTTTTTAAGATTTCGATTTCTTACAGTAGTAACATTGCTGAAGCCAGCACAGGCGGTCTCCTCTGCCACGACACTACCCGTTTTCTGCCACGTGTACATGAACTTCGTGGCCGCAAAAAATATCCTTCATTTTTTTCTTTCTTTCTTTCTTTCTTTCACTCCACTTCTTAAACCCTGCACCTCTGCTTCTTGTTGCCCCAAACCTCTTCTTCTCTTTCATTTTTTTTCTCTCTCCAATCCAAGTGGGGTTCTCCGATTCCCCTTAATTTGATTATTTTCTGTAGAATAGAGGGTATAGTTTGAGACCCTTTTGGGGAGTGAGGTGTTTTGTGAGGGGAAGGAAGCAACTTTTGGTGTGGGAGAGGAGAAACTGGAATTGGGTTTGTGGTAGAAAGGATGAAGATTCAGTGCAGCGTGTGTGAGGCTGCGGAGGCCAAGGTTCTGTGCTGTGCTGATGAGGCTGCTCTGTGTTGGGAGTGTGATGAGAAGGTTCATGCGGCTAACAAGCTCGCCAGCAAGCACCAGAGGGTGCCTCTTTCCACCTCTTCCTCTCATATGCCCAAATGTGACATTTGTCAGGTGTGTTGCTTTTTTGGATTTTACTTTGTGCTTGTTTGGTGGATTTTCTGTTCTTTGGAATCAATTGGATGTGCTTAATGTATGGGAAAGAGGGTGTTGTTGGGGTTGGTCAAACGGCTGTATTTGATGCTGTTGAGATTTTTAGGAGGATTGGAATGACTTGTTTTGCGGATTTTCTACTCAGTATATGAGGTGGTGGTTATGTTTGTTCTTTAGTCTTTGGTGGGATTACAAAGAAGTTAAATGATTGATATCATCTGCAGCAATAGGGGTTTAATGCTTGTGAGGTTTAGTGATAAGTGCATGCTTCCAGCTTTTGTTAATGTTTTCCATATTTGATTGAATTGAATATAAATGGTAGTGTTAAGGGCCTGTTTGGTGGTTAATAAAATAAATACAATAGGCTTTTTTTGTGAGTCGTTTGAACAGGATAAGCTTAACCTGTTTGCTAATCATATTATGTTCATTAGTTTAAAATTCATCTCAAAGAGGAGTTGGTTTAGGAATAAATAGGATAGGATTAAGAAAATTTTGTCATTGTTACACCACAACAGTGATAACTGATCACCATGGCCCCCGCCATGACCATTATTTTAACCGTTGCCTCCATCATTTCTACAACTATTGATCACTGTTACGAGTATTTTGTTGTTACTCATTACTACTGACATCACCTTTACTACGATTATTACCATCACCAGCCACCAAAGAAAGTTGATCACAAAAATGTGTTTATTTTATTGATATTCTACATCTTGAGGATTTACAATAAATTCTGATTTTATAGAAAGATCATTCCTTATATTTAGTTAAGGTCACGAAGGTCTATTTGGTTTGAAAAATGTTCAGTTCTCATTTTACACTTTCACTATTAATCAAAAGAATGCTACCTTTGTTTCCACTTTATTTTTTTTTTATAAAATATTTATGTCTGAAACGGTGAACAGCTGTTGTTTTGTAAATATTAGTGAAAACAAGAATTGGAAATAAAAACTATAACATACATGCTTGAAACTGCACTTGAATTCTTGATAAATATTAGTCTTATTAACAATGAAAACTTCTGTGCTCATGTTGATAAGTAATTGTAAGCTATGCCTTTTATTCCTGTGGGTCTAATTTAACCACTGTGCTGTTTTCCAACTCTGTCATTTATTCATGGCATGTTTTATTCTCATTTCTATTGGACTGTGATGTGAATTTAAACTGCTTCTCATTTTGGATCAGCTTGTGATGATGGTAGAGTCTGCTACTCTTTACAGGAAGCATTAGGCTATTTTTTCTGCCTAGAGGACCGTGCTCTGCTCTGCAGAAAATGTGATTTGGCAATACACACTGCAAACGCTTATGTCTCTGGTCATCAGAGGTTTCTTCTAACTGGTGTAAGAGTAGGCCTTGAAGCTACGGAACTTGGTACTTCCTCAACTTCTTTGAAGACAGATTCTGGGGAGAAAATTTCAGACACAAAATCTTCTTCTGTCTCTAGAAAGGTTTCCACAGTGCCTCAGCCATCATCAGATTACAATGAAGTGTTACCCATTGAAGTTGGGGATTTTCCACCAGCTAAGGAATCTTTTGGTGGTGGTTCTACAGCTGGAAATATGTCACAGTGGACGATTGACGAATTTATGGGCCTAAACGATTTCAGTCAGAATTATGATTACATGGAAGGATCATCAAGGGTATGTTCATAATCATAGTTGTTGAAATATACCCTCATAGCGTAGTATCCCCTGATCATTGGTTTTGTATGTTAAAATTATTTAGATTAGATTAGAATATGGAATGGAATTACTGTGCATAATTTACTGATGAGGGTATGTCAACGGCATGTTTTTTCAACATTTAAATTACTTGAGACTTTTTTCCTAGTGACTATTCTTATTCAATTGATTATTTTAAGAATAATGCTATAAATATTAGTCAAATTACTATAGGTATATATCATATACACCTCTATTTTTTTTCCTAAATTAGTATCCATGTTTATTATTTGTGTGTTGACATTTTAACTGTCTATTTGGGTACAAGTTATAAAAGTATGTTTTGAGAGTTTCTCTACAGGAAAATAACTCTTTATTTTTAGTAGAGAAACTCTGAAAATTTCTTCTAAATTTGTAATTAAACAGACTCTAAGCAAACTTTCATCAACTAAAAAAAAAATTCTTTATTTTCAGTAGAGAAACTCTAAAAATTTCTTTGAAACTTGTAAACAAACAAACTCTAAGTAAACTTTCATCAACTTTCCGGTTAGATTGTGCTTTGATAGTTTCATGACTATCTCTGTGGTTGTATGGTTCTGTAATTTTCTTTTTCACCTCTTTCTTTCATCATGAGTATTGCAGGCTGACTGTGGTAAGATTGGGGATTCTGGTTCTCCTGTTTTAAGATCAAGTGAAGAGGAAATGGAGGAAGATGATAACTATTTGGAACGCATTCCAGATTCGTCATGGACAGTTCCTCAAATTCCTTCACCACCTACAGCTTCTGGGTTATACTGGCCAAAAGACCCTCAATTTTCATCTGACAGTGTTCTTTCTGTTCCTGACATATGCTTCCCTCACATGCAACAACCTCAAAATAGAAGAATTTTTTCGAGACACCGGAGCCGGAGGCATCTCTAGTTTGTTTACACTTCTTCTGTAATAACTTGGAGACATTGATTCCTTTGTTTTCTGGTATGATTCTAATTTCTAAGTTCTCTCATGTTGCAGGGAAGTTCCATTTGATTAGTTACATTTACATGTTCCTATTCTTGGATGTCTGTTTCTTCTAGGGAGTAATCTCCAACTCTCTACATGTTATTGGGAATTTTCCTAGTAAAGCAGCAACATATAATGGGAGTGTAGAAGGGTTTTACTATTATGCTTGGTCTTGTAGCATTCTCATTTCTGTTGTAGAATCCTATGTAGATGAATCTGTTGGGTTATAATTGAGATTTGATTCAATATTGGTTTGTTGTATAAGAGTTTTGCTCTTGCACTTGCTTCTAATTCTATGACAACTTGTTTCTTAGAGCGTGTAATTCTCACTATTGAGATGAGTATGTTTAAAAGGATGGAGTTTCTTGAGTAACACTACTATTAATCAAATTTTTTTAATCCATCATAATTAATGATGGCACCGGGCTTTACTATTCCAGCTCCCCAAATCCTCACCACAAGGTCCAACTTTTGTTATTCAATAAATTTTCCTATTAATCAAGCACTTTTTAATCTAAAATTTCATAATTTTATAAGTGTGAAATTTATAGAATTAGACATTTACGAGTGATTTAATAATGGTCTAAAAATTATTCGATGATAGTTTGATAAGTTCACTAACAAGTTTTGATATTATTTTAGTGTTAAGAGTTTAATTTAACAGTACATTATCAGTTTATAAGATAATGATTATTTTTATTTATATAAATTATTATGATTTTATTTTTAATAATTTATATTATATTACAAATTTTACTCATTATAAATTGGATCAGATTAAAAAAAATTGTTACAAAATTATTTTGTGATAGTTTTTTTTTTTCTGGGATAAAATTTGTCTTTTTTTTTTATGTGTTAAATAATTTGTGGATGACGTCCTAGTTTATACCATAAAAGACTTCTAGAATGATTCTACCATTAAAAAAAACCACCAAAGAGGTAATCTTGGTAAATCTAAAGTTCAAATGGCTAAAAATGAGCAAGGGAAAAATTAAAAGATGGTATTGGTGACTTTGGTGTTATACATGGAGTGTGCATTGTATCAGTTTTAATTAACCTTTTTTTTTTTTTTTTTTCTCTCATTGATAAAGTTTGAGAGAGACTTATAGTTAAGTTGGATAAGACGTTAGGACTTACCATTTGTGGAAAGTGATTCGTTGTCTGTTATAACTTATAAGCCTCTTTTGATTGCCGATTGAACAATGGTAGTGAGAAAGATAACTCAAGTTTGTCTCAAGTTTGTCATTGGGTCTCCATAATGGCAGACAAATTTGACTTTTGGATTTTTTTTAACAAATATTTATTTTAATAATTTTTATATGAACTGATGAAAAAAAGTAGTTCAATTGCATTTATTTTCATGTGAGACATTTAAATTATATTATTATTATTTTATATAAATTTTACTTTCCTTATTCAATGATAAAATGTTAAGTATATTTTAGTTCATTTTAATATAAATAACATTATTAGGATGAAGTCGAAATAATATGTACAAGGTATTAGATTTTGTTTTCAGTTTAACAAAGAGATATAACTTTTTTTTATCGAGTCGATCTTTATAGAAATAAAATGATATTTTCAGTCGTGACTTCATATTTAAGGTGAGAATCAAATCCCAGTCTTTAATTAGCAAATACAAGTGTCAAGTTAATTGAGCTAACAACATTTGATACAATGTATTATATCCGAATCTTATAGTTGTTGATGTAATATTTTTTATTATTGTCGTTATAGTATTTTTTATTGATTGAATTTTTTGATATTAATAAATTTCTTAATCCAAGTGAATAATTATGAAAGAGTCTCCCCTAGTTATATATGTTTTTCCCCCTAGTTATGAAAATAATTTCTAGTAGATTATTTTAGTAGAATTTCTCCTCTAACTACAAATTCATAATTTACCTCTGAAAGAAAGAAAATATACATTAGAAGATATAATTAATTTAAATATATTTTAAGAGAGAAGAGTATAATAATTTAAAAATAAAGCTTAAATAAACATACACCCCAAATAGAATTTCATATATTATTTTCTTTTTTGTTTCCTTAATTAAATTATCCTTTATCTTTGAGTTTAATGAAAAAAATGACATTGTGAGGAATAATTAAATACAATCAATGTTTCAAGAGACTAATTTTTGATAAAGGTGATAAATATCCTAATAGTATACGAATAAAAAAAAAATCCTTGACAACGAGGACCATAGTGCAATGCATTTCTCCTTTTCTCACTTTTCTACTTTTTCTATTTTGAATTCCTATTTGGCATTGTGATCCTTGTCAAAGAAGAAAAGAGAACAAAATGCCTAATAAGAAGCCTGAAAATGACTGTGAAATGGTGAATATCTGAGTCACAGGACCCACAAGAGAACGATATTCCTTGGAATAAGATCGAAGGGCATTAATATGATAACGTTATTTCACCTAAAAAATCTCCCTTAGATAAATGCTGATACATGACACCCTACAAGTCGTAGAACAAAAAGATCCTTAACAGTATGAGTTGTATTTGCAACCATACATATAATCAATATTTTTGCTTCATTTTCTTATATATTCGTATATCGAGTGATTGAGAATGAAACAGCAAGACAAATACTGTAGTCTAAAAGTCATATTCTGCATGTGTGAAGCAAAAAGTAACTAATCATGCAAACGTCATTGTGTATTTGCATGCGTACGTGTTCAATTACTTCATCAATACTTAATAATTTAGTATTCCTTCATTTATTATTAGAAACACTATTCAATGTATTTTAGTTTATATAACAAATATGGTTAAATTTATTTTTTACTTCCTCATGAAAGTTATTAATTTAATCCTTATTTTTTTTTTCGAAAAAAGAACTTCTTATCATCACTTTATATATATATAATTAAGTCATATATCAACAACAATATTATAGGATAATAATAACATATTTTAAATTAATATGTGATATATGTAGTCACTTGTCAAAGTAGAATTTTACTACTAGAAAAGTGTTATTTTTCTGTAAAAAAATATTCGCAACAACAACAATGAGCTGTAGTTTGTATTTAGAATATTGAGGGATTCAAATTCGAAAGCGAGAGGTGACATTTTAAACACATGGACCTAGAGGTCATAAAATCTTGATCAATTTTTTTTAGGGACGTGCTAAAATGTTGACCATAAACCATAATAGACATGTGGATTTGGCTGACTGAACCGGTTTCATATCCATAATCCATATGTAAGATTCTTCGACAAAGACAAATCCAATGATGATGGACCTTACAAACGCCATGTAATATCTAACCCCACTTGTGCCAACATTGTACTTTCATTCAGATGATGGACCTTAAAATTCCGTGTCTAAGTTTTATTAAATGGATCTTAGCTTAAGGAATGCATATTTTGTACTGATGAAACTTTTTTGATTGCAGAAAAGATATTGTCTTTTTATATAACCAGATTCGAGATAAATTATTTTCTTTCTAGAAGAATTAATATATCTACTGTACAATAATAAAAATGTAGTTATTTAGGAATTTAACATTAAATAAATTTTCTGTGATTAAATGAAAGTTATTTTTGACTAATTTTAATAAATGTGAACTGTACAAGGTTTGTTTGAATATGAAAAAAAAAATTAATTATATAAAAATGTTAATAAAATAAAGGTTTTTATCAATTTATATATTATTATAAATGACGTTATAAATAATTTAAAACTTTAAGATAATATGCATAATTTTTAATGAAGTAATGATTAAAAATAACATACGTGTATATATATAACCTTGAAAGTAATTTTTTTTTTATTGTTACACAATTACAAGCTGTGACCATGAATAGGTAAACAGAAAACATAAACTTCAAATACTATACTATAATTATACTTGATTGATTTGTCAATTGATAGGTGACCTGTTTCCAAGTGCAATGCTTAGTGGTTGACTTATTATGATTGGTTGATTGTAAGCTATAATATTGGTTGCTTAATCATTTCAATATTTTTGAACTTACTAATTGCATTATTGGGGGAGGTAAAATTCGTATGTTATGCTTCTAACCATCTTTTTTTTTTTCTTTTCGAATTAATCCTTTGTTTTTGCATTTTTATTCTTTATCTCTTATTTTCAGTTTCAAGTTGATTTTTTTGTCAGGTTATTGGTTTTAATAACAATAAATGCTTAATAGACAAAAATACCATAATTTAGTGGTAAGAACTTCTATAATAATTGAATATTTAAAAAAAAGAAGAGTAAATTGAAAGAAAGGGAGAGGAAGCTAATTAAAATGAAACAAAATGTTTGGGGACCAAATCAGAAAAAGAAAATTTTAAGAACCAATACATTAATATTACTTCCTTTAGGCGGTGACAAACCTTTATGAAGTATATATGATGGGTTTCACGTTCCTTGACAAGTTTTTTTTTTTATTTTTAAAAAAACTTTTTATTGGTGTTGTAAGAACATTTAATATAACAAAGCATATAACTTTAGCATGTAAGAATTTCATACTGAAAATGATCACAAACCTATATTTGGGATGGAATATTCCAATCATAAATCCATTCACTTTAGACTCAATTTCAATCAAACTTAATTCCACAAATTTCAAATCATTTAAATCAAATTCACAACTATAGACAAAAACATACAATAATATATTGGCAGCTTGAAGCTGAAGCTCACAATTCATTATGGTTGTCATTGGTGATACGTTGCAAAGGGAATGACTGGAGAAATGTGAGGTCATGAGATGACAAACTTAACTATTCATGCTTTCCCCAAAAGGGTTTAAACTAGGATATAATACCTAAGTGCCCATGGTAGTGTCCTCTAATCAAATTCTGCTTCATATCTCTAATTTCTACCAATTTTAATTATAAAGATAAGGTAGCAATTACCAAGATGAAATTTCAATAATCTTGATTACAAAATACATAACACCAATACTACCTATAATACTATATCTAAGTTGCATAGAAGATTTATTTATTTATTTATTTTCAATTTGGTATAAAATATCCACTAAATTTGCTGATGATTGATTTACATTAGAGAACCTGCCTAACCGACCACTTTTAGTCAAATCTCTCTTTTCAACCACATTTTTTTTTATACACAATTTGAATCCGAAACCTTACTTAACAATACTAAACCTAATACTATTCGGACCGACAGAATCTAGTAATAAGTAAACAGGTCTATCTCTTAAAATTAAATATACCACACAAGAATGAAAGTCTAACTTAACTCTTCAAATATTCTTTCAAGGACTCTATTTCAAATGCTAGAGAGCATGCACTAAAAAATATGGATCAAGGCCAAGAACAAAGAAACCTCTCAAGTCCCAACAACCATAAATACAAGGGAAATCAAAATAGAATGACAGATAGAAATACTTGGGAGAAACTATTCTATTTCTTGAAATAGAAGTTCACATCTACATTTCGAAAGAACCACTGCTTACCATTCAAGAGACTTGAATCATGGCTACACCTAATACAAATTTGCTGTTTCGATCGCCACTGCTAATAATCTTTGTAACAACCAACATGCTTGAGTATGATCCGAATGAGCTTTTATCCACATTATACTTGCAGATAATTTCGTGTCAGGAAAGGCTGCTTCATATGTGGCACTCAAACATCCGGTAGTATAAATATCCAAGTCAGTTTTCAACGAGAAATAAACATGTAATACACCGCTCCAATGCTCAATATCAGTGTTCTATATAATAAGCACTTGTCAAGATTGCCACTATGTTAGATGATTGAGCTCCTCAAAAACCCTGCAACAAGTTTAGGAACCCCAGATCTGGAGGGCTTGCTGCATTAAGACTGCTATGATACTGCCCATTGATATGTTGATAATATTGACTGCATCATTGTTAAGCTGCAGACAACAGTAAAGTAATCATAAATAACTAGTGGCAAAGGTACCTGATATACAGATTAAGGTGATGAATCAAAGCCCAACATGGTTGACAAAAATAAAATCTAGCTTTGAGCATGTAGTAGAAAAGAAAATATCCATAAAAAATTATGGTTTGCACATTACTAATCGTAGTAACTCAGATAGGTATCATGTATGCATGCACAAAGCAGTCAAGCTCAAGCACTATTAGAATTTGCATCATCTCAAAATATTCAGGGTTCGGACAAATATTTTATCTTATGGGCAAATTCGCATAATGGCATGAAAGAACTTTATTTGAATCCTGTACTTGAACACAAGTACAAAACTTTAATATGCAACGAGATCAGACAGATTTTTGTGACAGCTTCGATAATGAAATATCACTGCTTTCATGAACCTACCCATTTAAATCCTTCCTTCTCTTGAAAAGCAGCACCAATTATGCTCTCACCAAGATTAGCAATCTGAGAAGCTAATACACATATAATTGCTTCATGTGAACCAATCTGTTTAACAAAAGAATAATAAAAATAAAGAATCAAGTCAGTAGCAAAAATTAAGTTCATGAAGTCTTGAGCAATTGACCATTAAGTAGTAATTATGTGTAAGGATTCTTCTTCAATGACTTTGCAATTGAGGTGATTTAAGTGGAAGAGAAAGGGAATGCAGTTGCGGAAGGGTGCCATCCCTTCATCAGTTTCATATCCAAAAGAGAGGGAACACTGTCCAAATATAACTAAATGCATGGGGATATTTCTTGTTGACTCTTTCTAACATAACTATATGGGACCAACTATTCTTAGGGAGTGTTTGAGTATCCGTTCACACACTTTCCAAGAATCCAAACGCGAAAGAAACATTTTTTTTTCCCGTTTTAAACAGAGAGAAGCAAACACTCCAAACCTCCAAATAGATTGGGCAAAAAAATGGGAGTCAATTTATGTTCTCCGAACTTATAGCACCCCCATGATGTTTGGTTGCATAACTTTTGCATTATATTTAACCTTTTTTCCCTATGTTAAAGTTCTATATGCCCATAGAAACCATTTATATTATATCCCTCACAAAACCAAAACAGGGAAATGTATTATTGAACTCATTTATTTTCTTTCATTACTTTCATAATACTCCTTTCATTCTCTTCTCTATGAAACAAAACCTAGCATATTTTTCCAATTTCACTGGCATATCTACAAGTGTAGTTGAGAAATCAGCTTTAGATCAAATAGCTTAATTATGTTTTGTTATATGTCAAATGAACTTAGCTCATGAATTCAAAGTTATGAAACAAGTAAACCGTAACATATTCCAAGGAGATAGACTCTAAATTGGCAATTTAAAGCTAAATTTCAGGAAAAGGAGCACCTCAGCTCTTCTGCTTGGTTATGCAAAATATTTTGTTTCATAAAAGTTCACTGAAGGTACTGATTTCTGCATATCTATAACATATCATCCCCATATTCATTATAAGATGCTTATAGAAACTGTACTTTCCAGTCAAGTGATTTGAAAAGATCCGCATACATACTTTGGTGTTCAGTGAGCAGAAAACTAACAAGTTGATCTACTTTCCAAAATGTCCTTTCAACAAACAAGCGAACAACGAAACTCATACAAACACAATCACTCCCATAGAAAAGCACAAACAGCCCAAAAATCCATAATGTGACCCTCATCAGCCTTGTAAAAAGTTAGCTGTTAATCTCACCCAAAACCCAACTCCAGCACCACTGACCAAGATAGCACTTAAACATATACTGACAGTAGTTTAGAAGGAAAAGATCATTTTTTTTGCCGGGGGGATGAGGAGTCTAATGTCTGTCTTGAGGCAAATTATAAAAGAACAATTCAAAAGTTGTTTTAGAAGCATTAACAAATAACAATTACTCTCTTTGTGCATTCTTAACAGAAACATAAAATAGAAAAAAATAGCAAAGCAAGGGAATAGACTTTCCAAAAATAAGCAGCCATCACCAACAACATTTGTGAGTGAAACCATTCCTCTTCCATCTCTTATGACAACATTTTGAGAAATAAACAGACCATCTCTAGATCATAAACTAACCACTTCCTGCAATTTTGGCACCAGGTTATTCAATTAATTTTACTATTTAGTTTCAAGGGATGAAGTGAACTTAATGTTTTATTTCATCCCTTTTATAGAAGACATTCTGGGGTAACGGGAATGAGCAATAATCATGTCTGAATTTAAACAGAATGATTATAATAACAAGCCTCAAAGCATACTGCTTTATGCAGATAGCATTCCTTAACTGTAGAATTATAGCTACACTGCCATATTTGACTGGGATTATTTTTTAGGACCTGATCTTTTTCAAAAGCTGTCCTAGGAAACTACAAAAAAAACAAAATAAAGAATATTCAAAACAAGCTAACTCAAATATACAGACATCCACCACTGGCACCTGCACACTTGTACTTCCCAAGATGCCACCCATCCTCATCACGTAGACATTTATGGAGTCAGAAATTAGTGAAGTACCTCACCCATGAGAAAACTGACAAATGCAAGAGCTATGGCTGCTAAAATGCCAGCCAAAGTTCCTTCAACACTAACAGCCCCTTCTGTGCCTCTTGGAACTACCTTGAATGTTGTAACTAGGTACCTGGATATTATGCTGGAGGAACTTAGTATTGAAATGCTTCCAAATATAAGATAAGTGAAACATATATCTTTCGGAAGAGC